ACTCATTCGGGTTCCCATATTACACGCTTACCAGTAGCCTGCAATTGTCTCTCATAACAGGGATCATATCTGTTCATGGTTAAGTGATTTATTTCATAGTCGTATCTCAAATTAAACAGTGAGCTCCATGGGTAGGGACCATACCTCGGGATCCCTGATGACACCACAGAGCTAGGCACATAGTAGGTGCTTGACCCAGTTTCACTCAATTAAAGAGGAAGCCTGTGGGAAGATAGACAAAAACCTTTGGATGGGTCCACGGCATCCCATTCTTAGAGGCTCAGTCGTCCCCAGGCACCTGCCTCGCCCCACAGTCTCCCACCAGGACTCCATCACCCCCCACTGTGGCCTCCACTGTGAGACTCTGAGCCCAAAGGTGGGGACCATGTCCGTTCATCTGGGTCCCAGTGCCAAGCACACTGCCTGTGGATAGTTACCCAATAAATATGAAAGTCTGTCCAGTTTTGTGATGTTTCTGTGCTGGTGCAACATTCTAGCCTGGCTCAATTAAATGAACATTTTCCTCTCAACCTTTTCACTAAGTGGGACCCAAATAGTAGCTCTGCCCCCGCCCTTCCTGTGAGGACCCTGAGACTGACCTGCACCTGCTATCGTGGGCTAGTTCCAAAGAGAAGCAGGGCCCGGCCAGCCGTGGCTCAGCGGTTAAGCATCGACCTAGGATCCAGGCGATCGGGGTTCGATTCCCGGTCAGGGCACATGCCCGGGTTGCGGGCTCGATCAATGACTCTCTCATCATTGATGTTTCTATCTCTCTCTCTCCCTCTCCTTTCCTCTCTCTGAAATCAATAAAGATATATTAAAAAAAAAAATTAAAACAAAGAGAAGCAGGGACAGAGACACAGGAAATGAAGAAAGGTGAGGGAAGCACTGGCAACTTATTAAGATGTAAGAGTTGACTCTCCCTTTGAAAACCCTGAGAGCCCCTCCTTTAGAAGGGACAGAGGGGCCGGTCACTACTGCCCTCTTGTGGTCCATTTTAACTGTTGGGAATATCACAGAACTATTAAAAGTACATGGAAGTGTCTAGTCCTCCGGAAGCCTGTCCGGTATGTTCATTTATGTGGTATTTCTTGAATGTTTTTCTCATACTCTGTTCTGTGCTCTGAGAACATGGGATGAACATGACAGGAAAGTTCCTGCCCTCAGGGAGCTTCAGTGCAGTGAGAAAACAGCAAGAGTAGAAGTGTGATTCCAGGGAGTGATAGGGCTGGTACGAGGGTGATGGAGAGGGTCCATTTAGACAGGTGGCCAGGAGAGTCTCCAGAAAGAGGCGTTATTCTGTGACATGGGGGAGGGGGAGTGGACATTTGCATCGAGGTTGCAAGTCAGAAAAGCACAGAAGATCTGGGAGGCTTGCCCTGGCCAGGGTGCCTCAGTTGGTTGGGCATCGTCCTGTGCCCTGAAAGGTTGCTGGTTTGATTCCCGGTCAGGACACAGGTCTGGGTTGAGAGCTCGATCCCCAGTAGGGGGCGTGCAGGAGGCAGCCAATTTCTCTCACATCGATGTTTCTCTCTCTCTCCCTCTCCCTTCCTCTTTCTCTAAAAATTGATAAGAAGAAAACATTTTAAAAATTATAAAATATGGCCTGGCCGGGCATGGCTCAGTTGTTGAGCACCAACCTACGATCCAGGAGATCGTGGTTCGATTCCCGGTCAGGGCACACACCTGGGTTGCAGGCTAGGTCCCCAGTGGATGGGCATGCAGGACCCAGCCGATCAATGACAACTCTCTCATCATTGATGTTTCTATCTCTCTCTCTCCCTTCCTCTCTGAAATCAATAAAAATATATATTTTTTTAAATTATAAAATAAAAAAAAAGATCTGGAAGCTCAGTTCAGGCACAGACCTGCCATCATCGTCTCAAGAAATCTCTGTCCCAGCTCACTTAACAGCACCTGTCCTTGAATACTTATGTGTCCTCTCCCTCCTCTATGCCTTTGCATGTGTTGTTCCCATTGCCAGCATATGCAGTTCCACCTCTTTTCTATCCACAAAAACCTTCCTACTTCAAAGTACTTCAAAGCTCTTCTCAGTCCCACAGTTCCTGGACAAAACTACCCATTCCATCACCACTTTGCTTATAGCTTATTGGGGCACATTACTGACTGTGTGGGCTCCTGTCTCACAAGGAGGAGGTTCTGGAAGGCAGGACTCAGGCCTCATTCATATGTTACCAACACTGACCCCTCACCAGGGCTGGCACAAAGGAAGTGTTCAAATGTGGCCCTCGAATGTTTTGATTTCAGGACCCCTTTATACTCTTAAAAATTATTGAGGGTCCCCAAAGAGCTTTTTTTAAAAAACAAAACAAAACAAAACAAACATGGGTTATATCTATTGGTGTTTATCCAGTTAGAAATTAAAATGAAGAAAAATTTAAAACATAACACCCAAGCCTACATCCCACACAACCCATGAGAGTTCTGGCATCTGTCATGAGAAATCACGCAGCCTCTAGTAAACACTCTCCTCAAGGGAGAGAAACAGTGACAAAGTAAACATCTTAGTGTTGTTAGGAAAGTAGTCAAAAGTCAGCCCTAGGTTTGAATCCAGGCTCTGCTGTGTGATGTGGGCAAATTACTTATCCTCTCTGGGACTCATTTCTTTTTAAAAAAAATAATAATTTTATTGATGTCAGAGAGGGAGAGAGAGAGATAGAAACATCAATGATGAGAGTCATTGATTAGCTGCCTCCTGCACACCCCCTACTAGGGATTGAGCCCAAAACCCAGGCATGTGCCTCAACTGGGAATTGAACCCTGATCTCTTAGATCACAGGTTGATGCTCAACCTCAGAGCCACGCCAGCTGGGCTGGGAGTCATTTCTTCACTTGTAAAGTAGGAATCATAACTGTACAGGTATGGGCAAAAGTAGGTTTGCTGTTGTTCATATGGAAATAATATTATAATAATAATACAAGAATAAACTCTGTTTTGCATACTCACAGCTGTAAACCTACTTTTGCTCCACCTCAGAGCTGGTATGAGCATTAAAAGAGACAATACTTGTAAACTGTGGAGCACTCTCCTGGCCCATCAGTGCTTGATAACATGGTTGTTTAGATGTGCAGGCTGGTGTGGCAAAAGCAGCATCCTGGACAGCAAGTCAAGAACCTGGTGCTGGAGTTGTAGCTCTCCCATTAGCTCTTCCTGGTCTTAGGGAAGACACTGCTCCTCCTGGGTTTGGTCTGCCCCACCTGGATCTGGTGGCACCTGAGGAGTTGCCAGGAAACAGAGGGATGGGGGCTGAGCAGCTGAGACCCCCCCCATTTGATCAGCTTTTATATACTGATGTTCTATGCATACAGGCTACTTTACCAATTAAGTACCACAGGTATCGTGCCCAGGGCCTCCCAGCTTTCAAGAGCCTATGAACATATTTGGAAGCTGAAAAAACAATCAACTCCAAAATATCAAAATTAACTTGTATAATTGAAATAAATTCTGAAGTAATGTCTACAAATATAATGTCATTTCAGGTAGTCAAATGCAGTTCAATGTATATTTTTACATATATGAACTATATGTATATGTGGGAGTCAGAGTATTTTAATATTCAAAGTTTTGTATGGTAGGGTGTCTGTACAAAAATGTGCATAAAGTTTACAAAGGTCTTTAAAAGACTGAGATACTACTTTGTGTTCTACTTCCAAAAATAATTAAAACTTTGAAAACCACTAAATACAACCAAACTCTGTTAAACCACATGATCTCTAAGGCCCCTTCCAGAGCTTGCAGATCGTGAGAGGCTAGATTGAAATGTGCTTAAAGTGATTTACTCTTGACAAGTTACAAAGCCCTGAGGATGGGCATGGGGGTGGGGTGATGTCAGGATCCTGAGGCCCAAGAGACCTTATAGAGCATCGACTCCCCACCTGCCTTGAGACCAAGCTGTTAGAGGCTCCAAGATGGAGCCAAGCAGACGGTCTGAATGTCTTATCTGCCCTTAGTTACAGAATGACTTTGAGCAGGTTACTTAGTTCTGTGAGCT